CCCCCTGCGCCCCGCTGACCTTCACTGTCCACGCCGGACCCATCCCCCAGTGCCCCCCATCCCCTGCTCCCCACTGACCATCACCATCCACGCCGGGCCCGTAGACCTTGACCCCGGAGGTGTCGAGGGCCGGCTCCACCTGTAGCGTGCTGGGGAAGTGGGGCACGGGCTGCCCGCCGTACTTGATGGTGATGGTGTAGGTGCCGGAGCAGAGCGGGGTGTAGGCGATGGTGTAGGTCCCATCACCGTTGTCCTGCACCCGCACCTCGGCCTGCGCCCCGCCCTCCGAGATGATCTCAATGGTGAGCTCGGCGCTGCCGGCCCGTGAACAGTCCACGTGGAACTGGCCCGTCTGGCCGGCCGTGGCCCGCTCCAGCCCCGGCCCCGAGCAGGTCACCTTGGAGGGGTCGAAGCGGGGCTGGACGGCCGCCCGGAAGGGCGAGCCGGGCACGTGGGCGCCCGCGAACAGGATGTTGATGTTGTAGTCGCCCGGCTCCGTCGGCAGGTAGGAGACAGAGCAGGTGCTGTCCCCGTTGTCCAGGCACTCGATCTTGGCCTCGCAGGGACCCTCCACCGTCAGCCCCAGGCCTCCCGTGCCGGCCCCCTTCGTGTCAATGGTGAAGGGGGCGGGCAAGCCGGCCTGGCCGCCCTGCAGCCCCGGCCCGTAGGCCTTCACCTGCGGGGAGAGAGCGGGGTGAGGGGCCCTGAGCTCGCCGGGTACCCGCCTGCCGCAGCACCGCCCGCCTTGCCAAGGCCCTGCCCCTCACCGGGTACCCGCCCGCCTCACCAGGTACCCGCCTGCCCGAGCACCGCCCCCTGCCTGCCTTGCCAAGGCCCCGCCCCTCGCCGGGTACCCGCCCGCCTCGCCAAGGCCCTGCCCCTCACCGGGTACCTGCCCGCCCCAGCACCACCCGCCTGCCTCGCCAGGTACCCGCCTGCCCCAGCACCGCCCCCTGCCCGCCTTGCCAAGGCCCCGCCCCTCGCCGGGTACCCGTTCACGCCCCGCCTGCCTTGCTAAGGCCTCAGCCCACGCCCATCTCGCCAGGTACCCGTCTGCCCCAGCACGGACCCCCACCCACCTCCCCCCAGCCTTCACCTTTGGGCAGGGGAAGGACTCTAGCCCCCCAGCAAATGGACGTGGGGTGTCCCACCCCCAGGTTCCCCCGGCAGCGCTGCCCATGGGGGGGTAGCAGGGGACACCCACCTTGGAGGGGTTGGTGGGGGGCACGGCCTCCATGGGGAAGGGGCTGCCGGGCACGGGGGCTCCGTCGTAGGTCACCTGAACCTCATAGGGCCCCTCCTCGCGGGGGATGAATTTCACCACGTTGTTGTCGGGGCTCAGGCCCGGCTCCACCTTGCAGGGCACCGACTTGCCCGCCGGCCCCGTGATCTTTGCGGCCACCTTGCCCTGTCCGCCGGCCCCCTTGGACTTGACCGTGAACTCCTGGTCCTTGCCCGCCTCAACTTCTGCACAGAGAGGGAGAGCCGTGAGCCCGGAACCAGGCATGTCCGCCGGCCCCCTCCCGCCCCACCATGGGCCCCCACCCCGCCCGCTGTCAGATGTCACTGCTCCATATAGGAGCCAGGTTCTCCCAGCCCCCCTACCAGCACCACGCTCGCCCCCTTAGCTGCAGCCTGGCATGGGGCAGGCTCGCCCCCCAGCCCCCCCCCCCCCCGGGCCCCAAGTGCCGTGTTTGTCCCCTTCGCTGGGTCAGGAGGCCCAGCCCTCCCCGCCAGGGTACGCACTGTCAGCCAGGCCGGTGATCTTGATCTTGCTGAGGTCCAGGCTGGGGGCCACGCCCACGCTGAAGGGGCTTTTGGGGATGTGGTCTCCGCCGTAAGTCACGGCCACGCCCAGGTTACCCTGTGTGACGAAGCGGGAAGGTTCGTATCATTTTCTCTGAACACCGTGTGCGTGCCTCAGTTTCCCCGGGTGTTACTCAAGTCTCTCGGTGGTGGGACGAAGGGGTGTGACCGTCGCAGCAACCCCTAGAGGGCAGGTGTGACTGCGACAGGGACAGACAATGGCTGGTCACTCTGTCGCCTGGCCACTGATGGCCGGGGCAACCCTTCTGTGTTACGTTGGCTGAAAGTCCCTGCAGGCTAGAGATCGGGGCCCTCACCCCCAGAGGGAGCAGAGACCAGAGCGAGGAGACTCCCTGAGGGGGCCAACGGCAGAGCTAGGCTGCTGGAGGCTCAGAGAGGCGCAGAGTTTAACCCCCTTAGGAGAGTGCACCCCCAAGACGGGCTGGGAGCCCGGGACACTCTGCAAGGGGAGACGGAGCCCAGACCCAGGCCTGGAGGGACCCGGGGAGAGGTGCCCCCCAAAGAGCCAGGCCCTGCCGGCTCGGGGGGATGGGGCCAGGGCCCCCCCTCGTACCTGCTGCACAGGGGTGTATTTCACTGTGTGGGTCCCGTCGTGGTTGTCGATCACCTCCGAGTCCCGCACGGCCTCGCCCTTGGCCGGGCCGGTGAACTGCACGTCCAGGGGCGCCCGGCCCCCTGCCTTGGCGTTCACCGTGAAGTGGGTGGGCTTGCCCAGTTCCACGCCTGCCGGGGGGGGACCCATGGGGGTCAGTGGATGTATTCGCCCCCCCTTCCCCCCCCCCCCCCCCCGCTGCCCCCCCCCCCCCCCCCCCTCCCCCCCCCCCCCGCTGCCTGCGTCCCCGTTCCCCCTCCATCCCCCCCGCTGCCTCATCCCCCACGCCAAGTCAGAATTTCCTCCCTTGCCCAGACCAACCCCCTGCCCCCCAAACTCACCGGTCCGGTTCAGCCCAGGCCCTTCGGCCTTGACCTTGCTGGCATCGTGGGATGGGTCGACCTTGATGCGGATGGGGCTGGTGGGGGTGGCCTAAGGAGGTAGCAGGGAGTCAGAAGCCATGCGCCCCCCCCCCCCCCACCACCACTCTGCCACCATGAGCAGGGCAGCTCCCCTCTGCAATGAGCTCCGGCACTGCCCCCAAGGCCCCCCAACCCCAGTAAGTGGGGAGCCCCCGGCGCTCCCAGGGCAGAGTGTGACAAAGTGGGGTTTTATTCATCTTGTTATGTTGCATGCGAGTCTTACTGTCCTACACTAATAAGGCGTGTGCCTCGGTTTCCTCATGTATGCACCACTGCTTCGGTGGTGGGAATTGGGTACAGGTGAGGCTGCCCAGCTGTCTGCAGGTATGCAACTGGAGACCCAGGACGGGGGTGTGACCAAGTGACACCTTTTGCAGGACAAAGAGGAGGAGGAGGTTGGTTGCTGGAAGCTTTGCAGTCTGCTTGGGGGGCTGGAAGAGGGGGAGTCCAGGTGTCTGGCCCGGGACTTCCCAAGATGGGCTTGGCTGAAAGTCACTGATTTCTGGGATACCAAGCTCTGTTCTATGCCGTGTTCCTGTCAACGAATATACCTTCTGTTCTACATGCTGGCTGAGAGTCACGTCGGGGGGGGGGGGGGGGGCCCCCTGGCTGCCCCAGGACCCCGCCGGGGGAATTGCTGGGGGAAGCGCACGGGGGGCAGGGGAGGCCGAATCGTCCGGGGTCAGACCCAGGAAGGTGGAAGCTGGGGAAGCTTCTGGCCCCGGAGACAGTCTGCTCCCAGAGAGGAGGCTCCCCAAAGTCCTGGCTGGCTTCGAATGGGGACGTCCAGAGCATCGCCTGGGGACCCCGTGACACAGAGCCTGCCCCATAGGAGAGATCGATGAAAAGCACCTCCCCCGTCGCATCGCGCCCTTCCCACCCCCTGCTCCGCCCGGGGCCGTGCCCCCGAAATATGGGCAGGATGCGGTGAGTGGAAAGCACCAGGATTGTGGTCCCCCCCTGCTTTCCCCCTGGCGGACCTGGTCGGCGAAGAGCACCATGATGGTGTAGGTGCCGGGCCCGCGCGGCGTGTAGCGCACGGTGAACGTGTCATTGTCATTGCGGATGATGTCGAAGTCAATGTCGGCCTCAGCCGGCCCCACCACGCCCGGGGCGCACTTGATCCCAATGCTCACGTCACCTGGACGGGGGGGGGAACCCAGCAGAGCCGTCAGCTCCCCGCATAGCCCCCCTGCCCTGCCCCCTACCGACCTCTGCCATGCCCGGGTCACCCTCAAGTCGCCAACCCACCCGCCACAACTCCCCCTGTGTGGGGGGCGCGGGGAGACATGTTAGAGCCCCTCGGCTCCCACCCCGCAGCCTGCCCCCACCCCCACCCCCCAGCCCCCCCCCCCCCCCCCCCCCCCGGTCCAGAGGCCCTCCCCGGCACTCACCCTGCCCGGCCTCGGCACAGTCCACAGTGAAGTAGGTGGGTTCGTGGGCCTTGAGCCCCGTCTTGGCCACGCCGGGGCCGTACACCTTCACCTTGTGGGGGTGGCTGCCGGCCCCCACGTTCACCTGGGGGGAAGGGACAGGTCAGATGGGGGTCCCCCCCCGAGCTCTTCACCTGGGGCCAGCACCCCGACAGGGAAGGGGCCACAGAAGGCCCCAGCTACAGGGGCGGGGAGGGGGTGCTTGGCATTATAATGCCTATTGCTGCTGTAATACACAAACAGCCCCCCCCCCAACCACACCTTTGCCCCCCCCCCCCCCCCCAGAGCCGGGGAGAGAACCCAGGTGTCCTGGCTCCCAGCCCCCCCTGCTCTGACCCACCAGACCCCACTCCCCTCCCAGAGCCGGGGAGAGAACCCAGGAGTCCTGGCTCCCAGCCCCCACTGCTCTCACCCACCAGACCCCCCTCCCGTCACAGAGCTGGTGAGAACCCAGGAGTCCTGGCTCCCAGCCCTCCCTGCTCTGACCCACCAGACCCCCCTCCCCTCCCAGAGCCAGGGAGAGAACCCAGGAGTCCTGGCTCCCAGCCCCCCCTGCTCTAACCCACCAGACCCCCCTCCCCTCCCAGAGCCAGGGAGAGAACCCAGGAGTCCTGGCTCCCAGCCCCCCCTGCTCTGACCCACCAGACCCCCCTCCCCTCCCAGAGCCAGGGAGAGAACCCAGG